ATTCTATTCTATTCTATTCTATTCTATTCTATTCTATTCTATTCTATATTCCTAATTCTAATTCTTATTCTAGTCTACATTATTCTATTCTACTTTTGTTATTTTCTATTCTGTTCTATATTTCTATTCTATTCTATTAATTATAATTCTTATTCTATTCTACATTATTCTATTCTATATTCTATTCTGTTTTATATTCTATTCTAATAATTCTAATTATCTATTCTATTCTCTCCTATTCTGTTCTATTCCTATTCTATTCTTCTCTTTTCTTCTATTTCTATTCTATTCTATTTTTCTCTTTTGTTCCTATTCTCTTGTATTCTCTTCTCTTATTCTCTTCTATTCCTATTCTCTTGTATACTATTCCTATTCTCTTCTCTTCAATTCCTATTCTATTCCATTCTATTTTCTATTCTATTCTATTTCTATTCTAGGCTATATTTCTTTTCTATTCTAATAATTCTAATTATCTATTCTATTCTCTCCTATTCTATTCTATTCTTCTTTTTTCTTCTATTCCTATTCTCTTCTCTTCTTCTCTTCTCTTCCTATTCTCTTGTATTCTCTTCTCTTCTATTCCTATTCCTATTCTCTTCTCTTCTATTCCTGTTCTATTCTTCTTTTCTATTCCTATTCTCTTTTCTTCTTCTCTTCAATTCCTCTTCTCTTCCCTTCCCTTCTATTCGGCTATAGCACTCTCTGACCCTGAAAAGCATGGGAGTTGTAGTCATATGGTTGACATGCAAAGCTGCTTCTTGTGGCACTGCAATTTTCCACAAGGATTGGGCTTTACTCCCCCCGCCCCACTTTCTTCCTCCTTCAGCGTTGCCTTCCTTGCATGCAAACGATTTGGCTAGCAAGCTTCTCCCTAATTACAGATAGTCCTCGACTTACAACAGTTCCCTTAGTGACGGTTCAAAGCTGAAAAAAGCAACCTGATCATTTTTAACAGTTACCACCTTTGCAGCATCCCCGAGGCCACATGATCAAAATTCAACTGACTCCTATTTATGATGGTTGTAGTGTCCCAGGACCTTGTAAGCAATGTCAGTGGGGAAAACAGATTCACTTAACAACCATGTGACTCGCTTAACAACTGCAGTGATTCGCTTAACGACTGTGGCAAGAAAAGTTGTAAAATAGGGCAACATTCACTTCCCAACCTCTCTCTTAGCAATGAACATTTGGGGGTTCAATTAAGGTTGCAACTGGAGGACTCCCTGTTATATAAGCACTGACATTAAAAATGAAAAGGAGGATACATCACTCTAATTATTATTATCTCTATGGCTCCTCCTCGCCTCTCTTGGCCGAGCAGCCTTCCCTTTGAATTTAGTAGTGCGCTTCAATACTCTGTTTCCCAGGGAGCCTTTCGGCGACTTCCGTCACGTAGCGTGCCCCGCCGGCGTCCCGCCGGACTGCCTTTCCCATCATGCCTCGGGGGGGGGGGGGGGAGCTCCTCCTTTCCGGCGAGCGCGGAGGGGCTTCCGGCGAGCGGCGGCTCCTTTCTGGGAAGGCGGGGGCCGCATCCTCCACGCCCCTCGGCCGCTGCGCTGCTCGCCGGCCCGCCCGCCCGCTTCGACCTCGCCATGTCCGCCCTGGAGAAGCAGCTGCAGCTCGGCCGCCTGCCCCCTCGCCCGCCGGGCCCCGCCGGAGGCAGCGGCCAGGCCCCTCCCAAGATGCGCATGGGGTAAGAGACCGGCCGCGGTGACGTCACGGGCGGTGACGTCACGACGGGAAGGGGAGACCGGCGGTGACGTCATCGGCGCTCGGAGTGGGACACGAGCGCGGGGGGGGGTGTTGTAGAGGAGGCTTTGTGGGGGGAAGGGAAGGGGGAGGCGAATGAACCCAGTGCCCCGCCGAGGATGCGGGACTACAACACCCATCATCCTCCCCAGCCAGCCCGGCTTGGGCGTTGCCTCCTACTTACCTTGCGAAAAATCACACTGAGTTTGATTCATTCCTTGATCAGCCGCCCATTAATTAGAGATTAATCTATGGAGGGTCTCCCCCCGCTGGATAATGGGGAGGGTCTGCCCCCCCAGTTGGACAATGGGATCCCCCCCAGTTGGATAATGGGGAGAGTCTCCCCCCCAGTTGGATAATGAGGTCTCTCCCAGCTGGATAATGGGAAGGGTCTCCCCC